ACATTAAATTCTACCATTATTTTAATCACATACTGGTGCCAAGTAATGGTATCATTCAGAATTTTTTGACTATGCAAATGTGCAATAAAAAATTAGATTATAATCATAAAGCACATTCCTTGTAACTACTGCCAATTATTTATGATTATATCAATATTATGCAAATTCTTATGATTTTCAGAAATTTTTCTGAAGATGCCTTTGTGAAAAGCATCACTTTTTATTCTACATAAAAAGTAATGTTGTGTACAGCTGTAGATATATTCTTGTAAATATTAATGTGAATTTAGCTATAATGCTAATTATATTTAAGAATATTAACTACTTTGAAGATGAGATCTATATGGATAAAATTCAGAAGTTTCATTTAGATCTTATCTTCCTAGGCACATACATTTAAAAGGTGTTTATTGATATGTGAATTGTAAACGTAAAAAAAATGTGTAATATGTATATTTATCTTTATAAAGCCTTCAGATTATTTTTAAAGTGCCTTAAACTTTCCGATATCTTTCGAAAGATTTCTCATATTTCTTGATTGTATTTTGATTGAGCTATTTAAATATCAACATTTGAACTTCTCCAAATATTCGTGATATATTATTTGTATTTCTTTCTCAAAATGTCATTGGTGCTTGTGAAATTTTCGTCATGTCAAAATTTATTCTCATAAGATAATATAGGTAGCTTGTTTCTTATGTTTTTTGCTACAAGAAATGATCCTATTATGGGTATTGTATGAATCAGTTTGAAAGGTTTTTTAGAATAAAGTGAATGATTGATAAGTCGTCCTGTGTTATTTTATTATTATTTTTTCTTTAGTTTTAAGATTGACAGCCAAATGAGGAGAATTGAGTTGACAACCTGTCGCATGGGGACCCAGGATCAAATCCAGTGGATATGGAAAAAGGCCCTCTTACTATACACAGGACAGAAATAGTTAAAAAGATAGTGTAATGAATATTTTTTAAAATGTGCATATTTGTTTTACTAAGAAAAAAAAAGCACTTTTAAAAATAGACTGGTAAAAAAAAACAGTTATACTGTATTGATTAATCAAAAACATTTATCGAATTAAAGATTTTTACCATCTTTTATCCATAATATTTTTTAAAAAATAATACAAAAGTTTATATTTTATTCATTATTATTAATTACCTGAATTTTGTCCTATAACCCATAGATAATTACCATATCAAAAATAAAACTTGCATAACCTTTCTCAGCCTATGGAATAGCCTTTCTTCCATAAACAGGTTTTTCATAATTACAATTTAAAATCTACATATAAGGCACATTCTCTTCAACTCTTCTTTTAAATACAGATAACTCTCCAGTAATACATGCAAAAATATGATATTTATGATATGAATGTAGAACTTTAAGCAAAAATTTCTCATCAGTATTATGTAATCTTGTGATAAACGATTAAAATCATCTATAAAAAACCTTGAATTATTAACCAGGTAATTTTTTATTTTTCCAAAGAAAAAAAAAAGAGAGAGAGAGCGAGAAGAATAAATAACATTTTTAAATCCCTGATGAAGAGATTGTACAATTCCTTTTTCATGAAATTTTGCACCGTGCTTTTATTGAAAATTTAATTTTAAAAAATACAGATTTATCATTTTCAATATGGGTGGTGAAAAATATTTTTATTGTAATATTCAATGATAAATTTGGCATAAATATAATAATTGAAATCAAAGGAACTTGTATGGATACATCTTTCAGATTACAAAATCTGTTACATAAATAATAAATGGCAAATAATTAATGGTAAAAATGATTTTTTAATACTAATACTTTGTACAAAAAATATATTTTCTCTTTCCTAAGAAACACCAGGAAAGGAGGAAAAGATTTTAATGAAGATATAAAAGATCTAAAACCAGAAGCACACCTGCCAGAAATAGAAAAAAACATTTTATTTTTTATATTAATATCTAAATTTAAATTGGTAATAAGAAAATGTATGCATCAATGATTTAAATATGTAGAAGTAGAAGAAAAAAATTAAATAAATGCATTTCTTTCATTTAAAAATGTTTTACTTCATTCCCACAATCAGATTTTATGATATATAACATGAACCTTGATATATAATTAGATTTATGTTATATATAGAATAGTATAACCCACAATATATATATTAATTTTAATGTGCATTTCTGTACTTAATACAATTGGATATCATTTTTGCTTGCTGCATTATACAGAGATTTTTCAGATTATTTGATATGAATAATAATTTATATAAATTTAAAATATTCAATTTAGAAGGCAAGGATTAATCTTATAATTGATGCATTTTTTAGAATAGATTGAATTATGGGTTGCTTTACAAGATGGCAGATCTGAAACATTTGCACTTGAAAATATGTTCTATAAACTTCAATTTTGCAGATTGAAATAACTTCATCATAAGATATAAAGTGATATAACGGTCATTTCATAGAAGAATGGGAAGAAAACATTTTTCTATATATTAAGCATGTTTTTCTGATCTTAGACTTAATCTTTTAAAATCTTTTTTTTTTGTGATAAACCCATGTAATTGCAACTGTGGATGATTACAACCATAGAACCAATATTACATTTCATAGAAAATTGGTTTTTAAACAAATGTGCACTGTTTCAAATACAGTGCAGTTACTCCATTAACGAATTTCCATTTTCCAAAAAATAGGAAAAATATATACATTTAAATTACATTACTACAATTTATGCATAGAATCTCAATGATGAACCATCCTCATTTGATAGGGATTTTCTGAAATTTGAATATTTTGAAATATAAAAACTGTAAGCCTAAATGATTTTGTTGTAAATCAAATGAATACTTACTAATTCCATAAAGCATATCTATGTCTGTAGAAGTTTTATTCTTTTTTCGTGTCCAAAGCACTATCCAGGCTAGAATCAAAGCAAACTGAGCTAGTAAGAAACACGTACAAGAAACGACCAAGCCAATTGTATTTATGCATCCTTCGTTCTTATCTTCTGTAATAACTAAGAAGGAAGAAGAATGTTTAATAATATGAAAAAAAAAATCTTTAAAAAATAATAAAACAAACAATTACTCTCATCAGGATAGGAATTCTCTTGTTTAGAATCAAACTCTGTAAGTTTTCTTTCGTTTCTTTCAAAACCGAATTTATCTGTGATCTGTATGGATTGAACTACCACCAGTTCTTCATCTGTACTTCTTCTTCGACGTTTCCTTCCAAATGAATCCAACTCTCGACTCAAACCAAAATTCCTTACAGTGCATTTAGCCTATTGATGAATCAAGTACATCATAAATACAGCTCAGGTTTTTAGAATATTATATTAAAGTTGTACAATATATTCTTAGTTAACTTACGGGTTGACAGTTTGGTAAACATGGGGTCACTAAAGCTTTAAACTGTACGATATCAGATGTTGGAAATTTGAATGCATCGAAGGGTGCTTGCAATATTTGTCCATTGCTGTTCACTTTGCTCAGTGGTCCCATGATGGTAGTATCGGTTGGGCATCTGTAATAATTATAAATATTTTATTTAATTATTATTTTCTGAAAAGTACAATGGAAATGCTGTTATGTTCATCCAATAGCTGATTCTTTGATTAGTCATAGCTAAGACTAAATACATTAAAGTCATCTTCACTTAATAATGTATACATTTATAACATGCCCATTTATGATCTATAAATACAATTTGAATTTCTGATGCTTAAACTTTTTAAATTATACTAAAACAAATATATGAAATTATTTTTAAAATAAATTTACAGTGTAATAAATTAAAATTTTCATTTTAATTTATTACGCTGAAATATAAATATATATAATTATATTTCATTTTATTATTACACTTTGCATTAAAAGATCAATTAAAAGATAAATGGTACTGTATTATGGTATCATTTGTATAATAAAATTTTCCGTGAAGCAAAATAAAATAAAGTTAGTTAATTAATTTATAATCGTTTAAATTTAATAATTAATGATTTTTTAAAATATATATAGCAGTTAATATGCAAGGTATAACAGAATAACTTTCAGACACAATGGTGGCTTTCCTGCATAGCAATTGTTTACTAAAAAGTTATCAAACATGAAAGATATCTTCACTGCTTTATTTTTAGCAGTCAATTTTCCCGAAAAACTATAAAAATTCTATGTAAACGCTTTATCTATGTAGCAATTTATATATTTATTACTAACTGCCATTAAATAACAATCTTATCGATCATTGGGATTTCGAATTAAACCTAATTAATTCTAGTCTACACTTTCCATATTATCCGGACTTATTGATGGGTTTGTAAAACTAGAAAATTTATATTAGTGTGTGAATTTTATGCAAAAAATGGCCTTTTATTTTATCTCATAAATTCTTTTCAAATTTAAGAAAATAATAATATTTAAAGAGCAAATATACTCCCAAAAACTCATTTGAGTGATAAGAGCCGAGTTTAAATAAAAATAATAGAATTATTTATGAGAAAAATGAGATAAGTGCTGATTTATTAATCTAGAATGCACACAAACTTTAGATTCCTGTATGTAAAGCACGTATCCACCCAAAGAAAGAAACAATGACCTAGAAGTTGTAGACAGTTGAATTTTTCATCTGTGAGTCATTATCCTTTCTTTGGATAGACACGTAGTCTGTAATTTGGGCGTTATTTGCGAAACTATATCTAACATGTCTATGGAATAATACAAACATAATTACTCATTTGTTGTATATCTTTCTCATATCCTGGAATATCTGAAATCATTTTGTTAATAACTTCCGTATTGTGATTTTTTTTAAGTAGGTTTGCTTTATATTAAATTATATATATATTTTCTACCTTAAGTACTATTATTATTATCGAATTTAACTATTAAATCGCTAAATAATCAAATTTTTTTCTTAAATTTTGCTTCGTTTAGGGTGAAAAAATTGCATAAAAAGTTATTGAACTTTGTTTTTTCTGCGGTTTTATAATTTCTTTAATTTTTTAAAATGTTAAAAATGGTAATATTTAATTATTTTTCTAGAAAAATAATGAATTAATACGTATCTTTATTATTATATTACATAGAAGAGTCAAAGGAGTACATAGCTCTCCACATTATTACGTGCTTAGGTCACATAATAATGTGGGAGGTTGTCTTATAAATGTTTTTTTTCCAAAAAAGAAGAAATGACTTGAAAAATAAGCTTAACAGGATCAAAAATGAAAGCAGTTTAAATAATTCAGTGATGTTTTAAGCAGAAATTTAGACAATTCTACAATAATAATAGTTAATTATAGGAATTAAAGGATATAAAAATGGATCTATTATAAATCTAGATAAGTTAAATGAATAAAAGTAACAAAAATAAACATGATTAAATAATTTAATGNTGTGAGCAGTTCTGTTCGAACAGTTGGAGTAGAGAATATTGTAAGTTACTGCTAGCAAAACAATGCGAAATATGTAATTATTTTCGGTAATCCGGACACTTTTGGTAATCTGACACATCTTTGGTCCCATACCTGTCGGATTATCAAGGGACAACTGTACTTTATTTTATTGTACGTATGAATAAAGAAGTTATATATATTTCAGTTTCTTTGTAACATTTGGACTTTTACACTAAAAACAAAAGCAGATACCCTATGGGAAACAAAAGAAAAATGGCTGTATGGTAATGAAATGAAAATTGATGAATAGATTTAAAATAAAATATAGAATTTCATGTATTATAATTTAAAAATCAATTTATAGACAGTTTGCCTTGGATCACTTCTTATGAATAAAGGAGGATGTGATAATGAAATTAAATGCAGAATTTGCCTTGCTTGCAATGCAACCTTTAAATTACATATAATTTGGAAAGATTCTGCAATCACTATTTTTAATAAACTAAAGCTCATAAGAATGCTTATTTTTGTGATTGTCACTTATGCCTCAGAAATCTGGACCATAATGCCACTTCTTGGAAGAAACTTGATTCCTTTGAAATGTGAACATACAGAAGAATGTTGAGAATCTCTTGGACAGAGCACCGAACAAATTGCTCCATCTTAAATCAACTGAAAATCACAACATACCTTACCAATAAAATATACCAATCCTACCTTCACTTCTTGGGACATATCTCAATGCAAAAATGGATTTGAGAAACAAATTCTAGAAGGGAAGATCAATGGCAAATATCCTAGAGGCAAATGTCGGATTAGGTGGGCAAACCAAGTAATGATAATTATAGGACATACAATGTATGAAGCCATCCAAATGGCACAATACCATGAACAGTGGAAAGATACAATTAAAGCCATCAATTCATAATATCACCACGTCCTCTGAAGAGCATAAGACTAAGAAGAAACAGTTTACATTGTCAAATATGCCACTAATAGTTAATTAATTACTAATACTTTAATACTTTTAAAACTAAGGAAAAAAATTAAATTCAACTATCATATTACAAACATCCAATATATTTATAACTTGTTTCATGAATCTTGGATAGATTGTAAAAATGCACAGTAACAGAGACCAATATATTTTCTTAGTGAAGGGTGGATCATTTGATGACTGATGATGTACTCTTCACTGTACATAACTGAAAAGGATTCTCAAACTTTTTAAAACTGTCAGAGCCCCATGTACCATCCATGCATTACAAACCAAGATATGTGAAATGTTCTGTAATATATTTGAAAAAGTATCCTGAAAAAATCAGTTCTCTATTTTTTCTCCTATAACTAAAGTGTTAAGTCTTTTTTTCAGTTGTAAATGGATAGAATTTATTCAATTATATTTACTTTATTTTGTTTGTGAAGAAAACTTAAGTAAACAGAAACTGTTTTTATTCTTCATTAAAAAAAATCTCTTATTTCTAAAGAAAATATCATTTTTTTTGTTTATTAAGCTAATTTTTACAAGATTTTATTATGATGAAAAGCATGTTATTTTTTATACATCAAGATTAAAAAGAAAATGTATTTTCTTTTTAACCTATTAAACTTCATGAACTTCATGAAAAATATTTATTTTTGTCTTGTGTCATGATACAAACATATATTATACAGCACTTGAAATTATATATGTTCATAAAATAAGGCTTAAAAATTTGAACATTAGCAGCATTTAAGATTTAGAACAGAATATAAAATTGATGGTCTAATATTTCAGAATTTAGTATTTTATATATTAATATGAAAATATTAATCTTTTTTTTAATCAATTTTTTCAATCAATGATCAATTTTTAAATAATAAAGTAGAAGATAGCAAACAGCTCAATTTAAATTTGATGTAATGATGTAATGTATTTAATATGAATTATTTTTATTTATGTTATATTAATATACTTCACACTACAATATCATTATCAACATAAAATGCATTCTTTACATAGTTTATTTTGAAGTATATTTGTTATATTAAAGTTTAGTTTGATCTAGATAGTTTTTTCCACAAAATTATATTAAATATACTTAATGTTATTTACAAATATACTACATTGAAAATGATTTACATTTCATTTAATTTAGAAGGAATCAAAATGGTTACCAATGATTTTATTAAAATTTTACTTTAATTTAACTTATATCTTTTACAGAATAATATTTTACAAAATTTATATGTTATTTGATTAATAATTTAATTTTTCTTTTTAGGTATTACCTCAGTTATGTGCTCTAAACAACATAGATTATTCTCTTTGTACAACAATAAAACCTCCATATGTAGGAAATATTGATAATGCTGCAGAAAACAATTCGCATGACGATGATAATTCAACAGATGAGAAAAACTCTAGTCAGTGTGAGATGTCAAGTAATGAAACACTAGAAGAGATAAAATGTGATAATTGTGAAACAAATACAAATAAATTGGAAACATTATCCAACACTGAAGACGTGAATTCTAATGACATTACAGAATAAGTATTTTATCATAAACACACATTTTCTTATTGATTTTTAAGTTTATGTTAAGGGTATTGAGTTATGAATAATGCTTGATTAATATTTATTGCTACTTGCTATATTTATTTAGAAAGAAAATTTAAACTTTATTTTAATTCCTTCTTATGTATTAATGATGATTATTTTTTGTTTCATTATTATATTTTTTCCTGCAAATAACCCATTTATATTTATAGAGTATTATCTTAAAATTTGGACAATGCGTTATCTGATGCATCAAATAGTTATAAAGCTATCATATCAAATAACATTAAAACTTAAGAAAGGATATCAAAAATATACTGTATACAATTCTAGGTATTTCTGTGATTCATCTTAAATATAATTTTATTAACATGTTGACATAAGTGTACATAAAATTACATAATTTTTTTTGTTTTTGTTTTCATTAAGTTTGAAATTTTTCATTTTCATATAAAAATTAATAACAAAAACCTTTCTTTATATTTGTAATATAGAATAAAGTAGAAAAGTTCATATTTCTAAGCATAAATGTGCATTCTTCTAAAGAACAAACTTCTTAAAATGTTTATTCATCATCCGAAATAACAGTATTATATTCATAACAAATCTCAACTATTTTATTATGTGTTTAAATTGTTAAAACTCATATTAATTATTACTTAAAATTTTGTTATGTAATATTACATTAAATTCTACCATTATTTTAATCATATACTGGTGCCAAGTAATGGTATCATTCAGAATTTTTTGACTATGCAAATGTGCAATAAAAAATTAGATTATAATCATAAAGCACATTCCTTGTAACTACTGCCAATTATTTATGATTATATCAATATTATGCAAATTCTTATGATTTTCAGAAATTTTTCTGAAGATGCCTTTGTGAAAAGCATCACTTTTTATTCTACATAAAAAGTAATGTTGTGTACAGCTGTAGATATATTCTTGTAAATATTAATGTGAATTTAGCTATAATGCTAATTATATTTAAGAATATTAACTACTTTGAAGATGAGATCTATATGGATAAAATTCAGAAGTTTCATTTAGATCTTATCTTCCTAGGCACATACATTTAAAAGGTGTTTATTGATATGTGAATTGTAAACGTAAAAAAAATGTGTAATATGTATATTTATCTTTATAAAGCCTTCAGATTATTTTTAAAGTGCCTTAAACTTTCCGATATCTTTCGAAAGATTTCTCATATTTCTTGATTGTATTTTGATTGAGCTATTTAAATATCAACATTTGAACTTCTCCAAATATTCGTGATATATTATTTGTATTTCTTTCTCAAAATGTCATTGGTGCTTGTGAAATTTTCGTCATGTCAAAATTTATTCTCATAAGATAATATAGGTAGCTTGTTTCTTATGTTTTTTGCTACAAGAAATGATCCTATTATGGGTATTGTATGAATCAGTTTGAAAGGTTTTTTAGAATAAAGTGAATGATTGATAAGTCGTCCTGTGTTATTTTATTATTTTTTTTTCTTTAGTTTTAAGATTGACAGCCAAATGAGGAGAATTGAGTTGACAACCTGTCGCATGGGGACCCAGGATCAAATCCAGTGGATATGGAAAAAGGCCCTCTTACTATACACAGGACAGAAATAGTTAAAAAGATAGTGTAATGAATATTTTTTAAAATGTGCATATTTGTTTTACTAAGAAAAAAAAAGCACTTTTAAAAATAGACTGGTAAAAAAAAACAGTTATACTGTATTGATTAATCAAAAACATTTATCGAATTAAAGATTTTTACCATCTTTTATCCATAATATTTTTTAAAAAATAATACAAAAGTTTATATTTTATTCATTATTATTAATTACCTGAATTTTGTCCTATAACCCATAGATAATTACCATATCAAAAATAAAACTTGCATAACCTTTCTCAGCCTATGGAATAGCCTTTCTTCCATAAACAGGTTTTTCATAATTACAATTTAAAATCTGCATATAAGGCACATTCTCTTCAACTCTTCTTTTAAATACAGATAACTCTCCAGTAATACATGCAAAAATATGATATTTATGATATGAATGTAGAACTTTAAGCAAAAATTTCTCATCAGTATTATGTAATCTTGTGATAAACGATTAAAATCATCTATAAAAAACCTTGAATTATTAACCAGGTAATTTTTTATTTTTCCAAAGAAAAAAAAAAGAGAGAGAGAGCGAGAAGAATAAATAACATTTTTAAATCCCTGATGAAGAGATTGTACAATTCCTTTTTCATGAAATTTTGCACCGTGCTTTTATTGAAAATTTAATTTTAAAAAATACAGATTTATCATTTTCAATATGGGTGGTGAAAAATATTTTTATTGTAATATTCAATGATAAATTTGGCATAAATATAATAATTGAAATCAAAGGAACTTGTATGGATACATCTTTCAGATTACAAAATCTGTTACATAAATAATAAATGGCAAATAATTAATGGTAAAAATGATTTTTTAATACTAATACTTTGTACAAAAAATATATTTTCTCTTTCCTAAGAAACACCAGGAAAGGAGGAAAAGATTTTAATGAAGATATAAAAGATCTAAAACCAGAAGCACACCTGCCAGAAATAGAAAAAAACATTTTATTTTTTATATTAATATCTAAATTTAAATTGGTAATAAGAAAATGTATGCATCAATGATTTAAATATGTAGAAGTAGAAGAAAAAAATTAAATAAATGCATTTCTTTCATTTAAAAATGTTTTACTTCATTCCCACAATCAGATTTTATGATATATAACATGAACCTTGATATATAATTAGATTTATGTTATATATAGAATAGTATAACCCACAATATATATATTAATTTTAATGTGCATTTCTGTACTTAATACAATTGGATATCATTTTTGCTTGCTGCATTATACAGAGATTTTTCAGATTATTTGATATGAATAATAATTTATATAAATTTAAAATATTCAATTTAGAAGGCAAGGATTAATCTTATAATTGATGCATTTTTTAGAATAGATTGAATTATGGGTTGCTTTACAAGATGGCAGATCTGAAACATTTGCACTTGAAAATATGTTCTATAAACTTCAATTTTGCAGATTGAAATAACTTCATCATAAGATATAAAGTGATATAACGGTCATTTCATAGAAGAATGGGAAGAAAACATTTTTCTATATATTAAGCATGTTTTTCTGATCTTAGACTTAATCTTTTAAAATCTTTTTTTTTTGTGATAAACCCATGTAATTGCAACTGTGGATGATTACAACCATAGAACCAATATTACATTTCATAGAAAATTGGTTTTTAAACAAATGTGCACTGTTTCAAATACAGTGCAGTTACTCCATTAACGAATTTCCATTTTCCAAAAAATAGGAAAAATATATACATTTAAATTACATTACTACAATTTATGCATAGAATCTCAATGATGAACCATCCTCATTTGATAGGGATTTTCTGAAATTTGAATATTTTGAAATATAAAAACTGTAAGCCTAAATGATTTTGTTGTAAATCAAATGAATACTTACTAATTCCATAAAGCATATCTATGTCTGTAGAAGTTTTATTCTTTTTTCGTGTCCAAAGCACTATCCAGGCTAGAATCAAAGCAAACTGAGCTAGTAAGAAACACGTACAAGAAACGACCAAGCCAATTGTATTTATGCATCCTTCGTTCTTATCTTCTGTAATAACTAAGAAGGAAGAAGAATGTTTAATAATATGAAAAAAAAAATCTTTAAAAAATAATAAAACAAACAATTACTCTCATCAGGATAGGAATTCTCTTGTTTAGAATCAAACTCTGTAAGTTTTCTTTCGTTTCTTTCAAAACCGAATTTATCTGTGATCTGTATGGATTGAACTACCACCAGTTCTTCATCTGTACTTCTTCTTCGACGTTTCCTTCCAAATGAATCCAACTCTCGACTCAAACCAAAATTCCTTACAGTGCATTTAGCCTATTGATGAATCAAGTACATCATAAATACAGCTCAGGTTTTTAGAATATTATATTAAAGTTGTACAATATATTCTTAGTTAACTTACGGGTTGACAGTTTGGTAAACATGGGGTCACTAAAGCTTTAAACTGTACGATATCAGATGTTGGAAATTTGAATGCATCGAAGGGTGCTTGCAATATTTGTCCATTGCTGTTCACTTTGCTCAGTGGTCCCATGATGGTAGTATCGGTTGGGCATCTGTAATAATTATAAATATTTTATTTAATTATTATTTTCTGAAAAGTACAATGGAAATGCTGTTATGTTCATCCAATAGCTGATTCTTTGATTAGTCATAGCTAAGACTAAATACATTAAAGTCATCTTCACTTAATAATGTATACATTTATAACATGCCCATTTATGATCTATAAATACAATTTGAATTTCTGATGCTTAAACTTTTTAAATTATACTAAAACAAATATATGAAATTATTTTTAAAATAAATTTACAGTGTAATAAATTAAAATTTTCATTTTAATTTATTACACTGTAAATTTATATTTCAGCGTAATAAATTAAAATTTTCATTTTAATTTATTACGCTGAAATATAAATATATATAATTATATTTCATTTTATTATTACACTTTGCATTAAAAGATCAATTAAAAGATAAATGGTACTGTATTATGGTATCATTTGTATAATAAAATTTTCCGTGAAGCAAAATAAAATAAAGTTAGTTAATTAATTTATAATCGTTTAAATTTAATAATTAATGATTTTTTAAAATATATATAGCAGTTAATATGCAAGGTATAACAGAATAACTTTCAGACACAATGGTGGCTTTCCTGCATAGCAATTGTTTACTAAAAAGTTATCAAACATGAAAGATATCTTCACTGCTTTATTTTTAGCAGTCAATTTTCCAGAAAAACTATAAAAATTCTATGTAAACGCTTTATCTATGTAGCAATTTATATATTTATTACTAACTGCCATTAAATAACAATCTTATCGATCATTGGGATTTCGAATTAAACCTAATTAATTCTAGTCTACACTTTCCATATTATCCGGACTTATTGATGGGTTTGTAAAACTAGAAAATTTATATTAGTGTGTGAATTTTATGCAAAAAATGGCCTTTTATTTTATCTCATAAATTCTTTTCAAATTTAAGAAAATAATAATATTTAAAGAGCAAATATACTCCCAAAAACTCATTTGAGTGATAAGAGCCGAGTTTAAATAAAAATAATAGAATTATTTATGAGAAAAATGAGATAAGTGCTGATTTATTAATCTAGAATGCACACAAACTTTAGATTCCTGTATGTAAAGCACGTATCCACCCAAAGAAAGAAACAATGACCTAGAAGTTGTAGACAGTTGAATTTTTCATCTGTGAGTCATTATCCTTTCTTTGGATAGACACGTAGTCTGTAATTTGGGCGTTATTTGCGAAACTATATCTAACATGTCTATGGAATAATACAAACATAATTACTCATTTGTTGTATATCTTTCTCATATCCTGGAATATCTGAAATCATTTTGTTAATAACTTCCGTATTGTGATTTTTTTTAAGTAGGTTTGCTTTATATTAAATTATATATATATTTTCTACCTTAAGTACTATTATTATTATCGAATTTAACTATTAAATCGCTAAATAATCAAATTTTTTTCTTAAATTTTGCTTCGTTTAGGGTGAAAAAATTGCATAAAAAGTTATTGAACTTTGTTTTTTCTGCGGTTTTATAATTTCTTTAATTTTTTAAAATGTTAAAAATGGTAATATTTAATTATTTTTCTAGAAAAATAATGAATTAATACGTATCTTTATTATTATATTACATAGAAGAGTCAAAGGAGTACATAGCTCTCCACATTATTACGTGCTTAGGTCACATAATAATGTGGGAGGTTGTCTTATAAATGTTTTTTTTCCAAAAAAGAAGAAATGACTTGAAAAATAAGCTTAACAGGATCAAAAATGAAAGCAGTTTAAATAATTCAGTGATGTTTTAAGCAGAAATTTAGACAATTCTACAATAATAATAGTTAATTATAGGAATTAAAGGATATAAAAATGGATCTATTATAAATCTAGATAAGTTAAATGAATAAAAGTAACAAAAATAAACATGATTAAATAATTTAATGAAACTTTTATAAACATTAATCATACTCAATTAAAATAATTAGCAAAATCTTATTTTTGCAATTTCTATGGAATGTGTGCGTTTTTTAAAAAAATATTATTAAAACGATTATTTTTTTATTTACTTTTTATTCTATTAAATATTTTATTTTATTTTATACACATTTATAAACTTGGCCTATTTTTTAATCATTTATTTTAAAAAATTCAATTTTTTTGCTTTGAATGAGTAAAATTCTAGGAATATNAATATATAGAATAATTTGCTTACATGAAATATTAATTTATTAGAGCTTTAATATTAAAAAAATATGTCTAATTACTTCAAAAAATCAAAACCTTCACAACTGATACACAGTCGCCGTTATTAGAGGTTCTCTAATAACGGCTACATCCCAACAACGGCGGCCATTTTTTCCAGAACATTTCTTTTTGAAATTACACTAACTTCCAAACTACGTCACTTTCAAACAATGACCATTTTTCACGTTTCCTCAATGGCCGTTGTTCAGAGGTTTGACAATATAACATATAAAATTTTAATTTTCTAAATTTAAAAACTCTGAAATTTTGTATTACTATTCTTACAAATTATTTACTAAATAAATTTTCAAAAATATAGGCTACCTACCCGTCATTATCAATAAGTAAAATTTCACTGTTATCAACTCCATCCATTGCAACTAATTCTCGAACAAATATCTCAAATGGACCTGTAATTTGTTAATTAATTTATATTTTAATTATTAATAATATATATTTTTAAAAAAGTCTTATTTTACAAACTCACTGTGCGAATCGATAATTTCAAATCTTAGTGCTAGAGGTTCTCCAACTTGAGCTGTTAAGACATCATTTCCTTGACGATCCGTAATCCTCATGGTTACATTTGGTGATGTTACTGTAGCCGATTGACTTCCTGTAGTATCTACATCTCTAATTACGGATGAGAGAAGCGGAAAAAGTTATAAATTTATAAAGATTTTAACGAAAATAATTAATTACTCACCCGTTTACTTCGAGTTGAACACCGTTCGACACACTTCGATTCGATAGATCATACTGACAATGCACCGAAAGCCCCAAATCCTGTGTTGTAACCACCATATCGTGGTGTTGAATGACGATATCGTTGGAATATTCACCAAAACTCTGTAAATTAAGCTTATGTATTAATTACACAGATTATTTAAGTCCAATAAAATGTCTCCAAGTATGAATTATAATCCAGAGTTACTTACTTCTTGCTTGACGTCGCAGTTAAGATCGTGATAAGCCATTTTGATCTCGAAGGATAAACTATTAGCCACATCGGATACACATGAATTAGGCCTACTTTTAGCATAAACTTTGCCATTAAACACTTTACTAGTCTTCACGAATGCGGTCATTTCTCTAGAACCGCAATGGATTGTTACTAATGGAAAGAAAGATTGAAAAAAATTATTCTCGAATCCACGAGTTTGCTGTCGATTACACGACTTTACACAGCAATTTACCATTATAGCAAGCCGCTTTCTCGAATGTAACCGAACCCGGTATCTCCAGATATGGTTCTTGTATATGAGTTAACGTAGCCGTAGAATGGTGGCTCAATCTACATATATTATTGGATGGATCGCCATAATCGAATGATTGGCATCGATAATTAACATTAAGGCATTTTTGCCTGCATTCTTCGAAAGTTTCCACGTCTTGATACACAGCATCTACAGTCTTCAATTTTTTTCCTGGTATTTTTCTGAATTCGCAGAGTTTAACGTCATCTGCAAACCACACGCGATTCGATTATTTAAATATATTTAATTCCCGAAAAAAAAACTGTTTATATTTATTTCTTAAATCGAGCTGTTTGATCGATTTTCTTCTATATAAACTTCAATGTTTATGATCTCCCACATCCTGTTAGAAACTAGTTTATCTTGTATTAATTCAATTTGGACTTTGAGTACAGGTGGTTGGTTATCGAGCTATGTCCAAACTGGCTTTAAATATAATTTATTATTAATTTTTCTTACATTTTAATAAAATTACTATAGGCTAGATTTCCTTTACTAACGTTCTATGAAGAGAAAACATAAAAAAAATTATTTATTTTATCACAATATATTTTCCTCTTAAAATAACTTCCGCATTGTAAAATATACTATAAAACATCATTGATTTATTTTTAAAATGTGATTAAAATGTTAATGCAATGCTGTAAATTGCATTAGTGCTTAAACTCAATACTTTTGGGCTGCAATTTTCAAATTACAAACCTATATATTCCCATTGTTGTCCGTCTGTTCGTCTATCCGTCCGTCCTTCCTTATGAAGTTATATAGACGAAAATCGAGACCAGATATGAAAAGCGCCCCGATTAACTATAGACGAGCTTTCGGTGTGGACCGGAAGTCACGTGATTTTTAAAAATTGCAACCCGTCAAAATACTTCTATAAAATTTTAAGCAAAGAGATAAACAGGAATTATATATATATATTATATTGTAAGAAAGGTATATACCGTCAACACAGTTATTTTCTAGGTAATCCACATCGGAAGGATTAGCAGCTTCTACAAATTTCCTACTTGCAGGTAAAGAAGTGCGATCCACATCACTCATGTCACACATGCCTGTACTATTATAATAATTGGCAGATCTACAAACAAATTCGATTTCGTTCATGCAAGAGGATATGCACGACACTCGCGAATCCACTCTTTCACTTTTTCTAGCCACGTCACGAAGTTCGTGACCCATCACACGTTCGAAAGTCAACTCTCGACTGCACTGTCTCCTCCCTAAAAAAATATACGAACGGAGAATTTTATCCATTAAGAAGGTTGTATGTGGGGGTAAGAAGAATGATAGACTCACCAGTAAGGCATATTTTATGAGCGTATATGGTAAATACGGGAAATTGGGAAGGTGTTAAAGATTCTGTAGAAGAAACAGCACTGGAGCTGAAGAGAACGCATAGGCCCGTTTCGAAATTAATAGATTGGCATGTTTCATTCCTTTTACAATAATTCATACATTCGGTTAACTGTAAAGTTCCAGGTAATACTTCTAGAGTGTCGGTTGGAGCCGTGTATACGAAGCCAGTTACCATTTCGAATGTCATATGACCGTTTCTACAGCCTGAAATATTTTAAATTAAATGTTTTATTATAAATAATTTCATGTAAAATGCATTAATTCGTTTAAAATTTCGATACGCTCGAGTTATTTAATATTATTTGCTTCCGTAGCGGCAAGGTCAATGAAGAAAATAGAGGAAATCATGCTTTATTAACTTAGCAGGTTTTTTCTTTGTTTTTTGTTTCTTAATTCACTTGTAACAGATTGTCTTACACAATGATTACTTTCTAATGAAAAATAACAGAATTATTCTTGAGTAAATGTTTTTTTGAAATAAAGTTTAACAGGAAGAGATTTTCTCATTTATGTGTTATAGTTTTTTTATGTTTCTTACATCTACTTTTTATAATTAATATTAATCTAGCAAATATGTGATGCTGGTTGAATTTTAATGTTTAAATGTGTTATAATTAATCAAATTAACCAAGTGAAAAGTAAATCTTCAAAAAATTTCAATTAAAAACATCTCTAAAAACTATAAATAAAGAATTAATGTGTGTGTGTTAAATAGAAAATATTGTTTATAAAGGTTATTTCATTACTTCATTTAAACCATGCTATTCTATTAAATATATCTAATTATTCTATGTAATGTTGCCATAATTAATACCATTTAAGTAAAAAATCAGCATTCTGTTACAGATTAAAATACAGTAGATACTACATAATTTTTATCATTAAAATTAATTTTTAGCTATATTTTATTGCCGATTAAGTTTAATAAATTAGCAATAAAATGTAGTCAATTAATTACAGATTTACAGGGCGAGTATAATAAATATATCTATTGTCTGTAACTGTTTCGTTGTACTTGGTTTATAGTCACATTAATTACGTAATGGTATTATTATTATACGGATATTCTCGGCTTAACGTCAGTAATCCGTTCCAAAATATCAACGAAAACGTTAACCGGGAGCCTATTTTCCATTATTTTAAACTAGGTTACAATACAAACCGCTTTCTGATCACCAAATAAAAATAGTTGTTTACAAACAGCTGTTTTATGTACAGTAACTTAAGTGTATATAATTTGCCATACCACAAACGTTATATTTAAAAATACGGCGCAGTAAATAACAGTAAAGTTTTTCTGATATTTCTGTAAATTGTAGTACTGTTGACTACTTTTAATGATGTCACAAAGCGTGTTTAGGCTTTCTGATATAGGATATATTGGCTGATGCTACATGCCTGTTACAGTATCAACGATATTCGAGATGCAAATCTTGTATGTTGATATTCGGTATGTTTTTCAAAATGTCTGCACGATATTCCGATGCATTTTGAAATGAAACTCGACAGCTTTTCTTCGCATAGTTTTGTTAAAACTATTGTATTGGAGTAAAAATACATTTTCGTTGTGAAAACATCGATAGAAAAATGTTCTTTTATGAAATACACACGTTATATGAAGTTTTGACATTATTAATGAGAAATATTGTTAAAATTCTTACATATAAGTTAAGTTCTTCTTCTCTAAATCTATTTCCTGTTCCTTATAAACTATTATGTGATGAGGATAAAAATAGTGTTATAATATTTCAACTTTATCCTTCCTTATCTTTTGCCCTTTTTTTGGATATATTTATAATGTTTAACCAAATTTTATTTTAAAGAGATATAAAATAACAGTTTTTAAAATATATTTCGTAGAAAATAAATATGAAGATATGTTTATTATACTGTGAATTTAAAATATTCTGTGTAAAGAAGGAACAGAGTTAATTCCTTCTAAAATTTTTAAAATACAACTTATACAAAGAATAAATTCGTAGGATGTTAATGGCGTATCCAGGATTTTGAGAGTTAATGAGTGCTGCTCAAGGCAGATTCGGGGGTGCCCTTGTAATTTTTCAGAGAATATTTCTCAATTGTTTTAGAATTACTGTAGTTACCTAACTTTACTTAATTGAAATCACGTGATATTACTGTATAGCCTATATATACGATTTTTTTAAGGAATAAATCTACGTCAAGATATAGATTTATTCCTTTTTAATACATATAAATTATTAAATATTTAACTAGCAAATTAACGTATTTTTTATATTTATAATATGGTTTTACGGCTTATTAAATGATGAAAATTTTGACATCGAAAAATTTACTATATTCATGTGATGATACCTTCTTATCTTCTATACATTTCAGCATCAGAAACGGAAGTTATTAATACTTTTTCCGTCTACTGCGCTCGTTTCATGGCGAATAAAACTTGCAATCAGTCACGTCACGTTCGTGTTATTTCTATTTATTTTTTAATACTTCAAAATATTTTGAACTTTCAAAATTGTTTTATATAAATTCTATTCTTATTATATATTATTTTATATGCGATATTTTTCTACGAAACTCATTGCTTCTATATAAAATCCGGATGTGCAGGAAGTGTCTTTCAGACATATTATAAAGGAATGTGTTCGGTAACTGCATCGAATTTTTAGTAAAAAAAATATATATATATATATAGGCCTATACATATTCTTNATACAGAGATTTTTCAGATTATTTGATATGAATAATAATTTATATAAATTTAAAATATTCAATTTAGAAGGCAAGGATTAATCTTATAATTGATGCATTTTTTAGAATAGATTGAATTATGGGTTGCTTTACAAGATGGCAGATCTGAAACATTTGCACTTGAAAATATGTTCTATAAACTTCAATTTTGCAGATTGAAATAACTTCATCATAAGATATAAAGTGATATAACGGTCATTTCATAGAAGAATGGGAAGAAAACATTTTTCTATATATTAAGCATGTTTTTCTGATCTTAGACTTAATCTTTTAAAATCTTTTTTTTTTGTGATAAACCCATGTAATTGCAACTGTGGATGATTACAACCATAGAACCAATATTACATTTCATAGAAAATTGGTTTTTAAACAAATGTGCACTGTTTCAAATACAGTGCAGTTACTCCATTAACGAATTTCCATTTTCCAAAAAATAGGAAAAATATATACATTTAAATTACATTACTACAATTTATGCATAGAATCTCAATGATGAACCATCCTCATTTGATAGGGATTTTCTGAAATTTGAATATTTTGAAATATAAAAACTGTAAGCCTAAATGATTCTGTTGTAAATCAAATGAATACTTACTAATTCCATAAAGCATATCTATGTCTGTAGAAGTTTTATTCTTTTTTCGTGTCCAAAGCACTATCCAGGCTAGAATCAAAGCAAACTGAGCTAGTAAGAAACACGTACAAGAAACGACCAAGCCAATTGTATTTATGCATCCTTCGTTCTTATCTTCTGTAATAACTAAGAAGGAAGAAGAGTGTTTAATAATATGAAAAAAAATCTTTTTAAAATCTAATAAAACAAACAATTACTCTCATCAGGATAGGAATTCTCTTGTTTAGAATCAAACTCTGTAAGTTTTCTTTCGTTTCTTTCAAAACCGAATTTATCTGTGATCTGTATGGATTGAACTACCACCAGTTCTTCATCTGTACTTCTTCTTCGACGTTTCCTTCCAAATGAATCCAACTCTCGACTCAAACCAAAATTCCTTACAGTGCATTTAGCCTATTGATGAATCAAGTACATCATAAATACAGCTCAGGTTTTTAGAATATTATATTAAAGTTGTACAATATATTCTTAGTTAACTTACGGGTTGACAGTTTGGTAAACATGGGGTCACTAAAGCTTTAAACTGTACGATATCAGATGTTGGAAATTTGAATGCATCGAAGGGTGCTTGCAATATTTGTCCATTGCTGTTCACTTTGCTCAGTGGTCCCATGATGGTAGTATCGGTTGGGCATCTGTAATAATTATAAATATTTTATTTAATTATTATTTTCTGAAAAGTACAATGGAAATGCTGTTATGTTCATCCAATAGCTGATTCTTTGATTAGTCATAGCTAAGACTAAATACATTAAAGTCATCTTCACTTAATAATGTATACATTTATAACATGCCCATTTATGATCTATAAATACAATTTGAATTTCTGATGCTTAAACTTTTTAAATTATACTAAAACAAATATATGAAATTATTTTTAAAATAAATTTACAGTGTAATAAATTAAAATTTTCATTTTAATTTATTACGCTGAAATATAAATATATATAATTATATTTCATTTTATTATTACACTTTGCATTAAAAGATCAATTAAAAGATAAATGGTACTGTATTATGGTATCATTTGTATAATAAAATTTTCCGTGAAGCAAAATAAAATAAAGTTAGTTAATTAATTTATAATCGTTTAAATTTAATAATTAATGATTTTTTAAAATATATATAGCAGTTAATATGCAAGGTATAACAGAATAACTTTCAGACACAATGGTGGCTTTCCTGCATAGCAATTGTTTACTAAAAAGTTATCAAACATGAAAGATATCTTCACTGCTTTATTTTTAGCAGTCAATTTTCCCGAAAAACTATAAAAATTCTATGTAAACGCTTTATCTATGTAGCAATTTATATATTTATTACTAACTGCCATTAAATAACAATCTTATCGATCATTGGGATTTCGAATTAAACCTAATTAATTCTAGTCTACACTTTCCATATTATCCGGACTTATTGATGGGTTTGTAAAACTAGAAAATTTATATTAGTGTGTGAATTTTATGCAAAAAATGGCCTTTTATTTTATCTCATAAATTCTTTTCAAATTTAAGAAAATAATAATATTTAAAGAGCAAATATACTCCCAAAAACTCATTTGAGTGATAAGAGCCGAGTTTAAATAAAAATAATAGAATTATTTATGAGAAAAATGAGATAAGTGCTGATTTATTAATCTAGAATGCACACAAACTTTAGATTCCTGTATGTAAAGCACGTATCCACCCAAAGAAAGAAACAATGACCTAGAAGTTGTAGACAGTTGAATTTTTCATCTGTGAGTCATTATCCTTTCTTTGGATAGACACGTAGTCTGTAATTTGGGCGTTATTTGCGAAACTATATCTAACATGTCTATGGAATAATACAAACATAATTACTCATTTGTTGTATATCTTTCTCATATCCTGGAATATCTGAAATCATTTTGTTAATAACTTCCGTATTGTGATTTTTT